AAAAAAAAAAAAAAAAAAAAAAAGAAGAAGGTACTTTTATTGAGTTTGACACTATGTCCCTGGTACAGTGCTATGCCTCATTTAGTCCTCACAATAACCCGATGAAGCAGATGGAGTTTTGAATCCCCATTTTACAGATGAGGAAACAGGTTTAGGAAGGTAAGGAAACCTGCTATGGACACCTAGCCATAAGAGGCAGAGACTAGTCAGGCACGGTGGCTCACATCTGTAATCCCAGCACTTGGGAAGCTGAGGTGGACGGATCACCTGAGGTCGGGAGTTCAAGACTAACCTGACCAACATGGAGAAACCCCATCTCAACTAAAAATACAAAAGTAGCTGGGAGTGCTGGCACATGCCTGTAATCCCAGCTGTTCCGGGGGCTGAGGCAGGATAATTGCTTGAACCTGGGAGGCAGAGGTTGTGGTGAGCTGAGATGGGACTACTGCACTTCAGCCTGGGCAACAAAAATGAAACTCTGTCTCAAAAGAAAAAAAAAGAAGAAGAAGACACTAGACCTGAACTCAGGTCTAAGTCAAGAATCTGTACCATTAATCAATCCACTATGTGAGTGCCCTCTAAGGCTGTCAGAGTATTGCGCATGTGTAGCATGTGCACAGGTCAAGTGCGGGAAAGGGCTTCAAGTGGATAAGGAAGGAGTGGAGGTATTTTTTATATGTTTGCTTTTGAGACAGAGTCTCACTCTGTCACACAGGCTGGACTGTAGCGGTGCAATTACGGCTCACTGAAGCCTTGACCATCCAGACTCCGGTGATAGGTGATCCTCCCACCTGAGCCTCCTGAGTAGCAGGATTACAGGCATACACCACCACAGTTGGCTAATATTTTATATTTTTAGTAGAGATGGGGTTTCACCATGTTGCCGAGGCTGGTCTCAAACTCCTGGGCTCAAGTGATCTGCCTGCCTTGAGTACAGGCTGCCCCTTCGAGAAGACTGGTGTAGAACTCAGGGAAAGTAGAGTAAATTAAACATTTCTTTAAGGTTCATGTTCAGGGTAGAGACAAGAAACATCTGCCCCAATGGATGCTGAGAATGGGAATCTAGAAATACTTTCTATGTAATGTAGTCTATATAGAGGTACACAGACACTACTGTGGGTGTTCAGAGAAGGGATTGAGAACTGGCTCTCAGAGGGTATTAGCCTGTTATGTAGGAAAAGAATATTTAGGCAGAGGAAACAGGAACAGAAGAATAGGAAACTTCCCATTTTCATAAGGACTGTGTGTGCTTCAATTAGTGGTTGGCCATCATTTGTATGTGAAAGGCAGGAATTCTCGTGGGTTAGGTTAAAGATGGTTTTGGGACCAAGGTCACAAAGGATCTGGAATGCCCTATTCAAAAGATCTGACTTCATCCTATAAGGCTTGGAGAGCTATGTTACCACTGTGGAGACCCAGTATGTTTGCAGATTATGAAGAAACCTGTAGAGAAAGGAAGACTCAAAACACAGCCGAAGACAAGAGAATACCTCTTTAGGATGCAACTAGGAGTTGAAGGCACAAACAGAAAGATTAGGCTTGGAAAACAGGAAGTATTTCTTTCATCTTATGAAGTGGAGTATAGGTGATAGATAGTGCTCAACCAGGAGATGCTCCTGCTGCCATTTATGATGGCGATGGGGAAAACCACAGCTCAGATTTATTGGGCACTGTGCTGAAGTCTTTTTTAAATGCTTTTTAGTTTTTTAATATTTATACATTTTTTTGAGACAGGGTGATATGGTTTGGCTCTGTGTCCCCACTGAAATCTCACCTTGACTTGTAATCCTCATAATCCCCATGTGTCAAGGTTGAAACTGGGTGGAGGTGACTGAATCATGGGCGCAGTTTCTCCCATGCTCTTCTCATGATAATGAGTGAGTCTCACGAGATCTGATGGTTTTATAAGTATCTGGCATTTCCCCTGGTTGTACTTTTCATTTCTCTCCTTCCACCCTGTGAAGAAGTGCCTTCTGCCATGATTGTGGACTTCCTGAGGCCTCTCCAGCCATGCAGAACTGTGAGTCAATTAAATCTCTTTTCTTTATAAATTATCCAGTCTCGGGTATTTCTTCATAGCGGTGTGAGAACGGACTAATACACAAGGCCTCACTCTGTCACTCAGGCTGCAGTGCAGTGGTGCAATCATGGCTCCCTGCAGCCTTGACCTCCTAGGCTCACGTGATTCTCCCACTCAGCCTCCCAAGTGGCTGGGGCTACAGGTACACACCGCCATGCCCAGCTAATTTTTGTGTTTTTTTGTAGAGATGGGGTTTCGCTATGTTGTCCAGGCAGATCTTGAACTACTGAGCTCAAGTCATCTACCCACTTTGACCTACCAAAGTGCTGTGATTACAGACATGAGCCTGGCCTGAATGCTTTGTGTCATGTTAGACAATCTTTAAAACTACTCTAAGAGGTAAGTAATATTATTATCCCCATTTACAGAAGCAGGAGCTGAGGTTTCAGATTAATACACTGTATTTTTCAGGTTAATACACTGAAAGTCAAATATCCCATAATAAGCAGAGCCAGAGTTTAAACCTGGGGGGAGCAGGGGTGAATCATCAGCAGTCCTGCACAAAAAGGGTGAAAATGGACATGAAGTGAAAAGGCCAGGGATACCACCAGCAAGTAATGTCACAAGAGGACAGACAGGAATAAACCCTTAAGACTGGGTAATGTGGCAAATACATCTTTAGGTCTGCAGAAGCTGAAGAATTAAAACTGAATTTTTAAAACCTGAAGATTAAAGAAAAATAAAAAGCTGAATCTCAGTAAACATTTCAATGCTTAGGAGTTCAATCATTTAAAGGTGTCATACATCCTGAGAGAACCAGAACAAACACTACTTTTGACAGAAAGGAAACTGTGAATCCTAATAGAAATAAAAGAATTTCAAGCCTGCACGAGGACTGAAAAAGTGAAAGTAATTTATCCCCAGCCTCAGGAAGAATTATCATAAACCATCCAAGATAGATACATTTTTTCTATGTTAAATGACTTTCAGAAAAGGAAGGTTTTCCATAATTTTCCCTAGTAACTCACTGTTGTGTTTAATAATTTCTCTGTCAAGAAGCTATTTCTCATACTGTATCTAACCCATAATTCTACAGTTTCAAATCCATATCCACATTACTTTCATCAAGGGTTACTGAATAGCTTCTCTATCCACTGGAAGATAAACTTAACAACGATCATGGCCTCACTTCAGGCTTTCATCCTTTAAACGAAATACAGTCTCTTTGATTTTTAAACATGGTTGGTCTGTTTTAGTAAAAAGTATCTTTAATTTTCCATGCCTCTTTCTTGCCATAAAACAGCCAATCTGAATGAGACAGGAATATTACCATATGAAAACAGGATAAAGTCTCATTTTTGTATCTCACAATGACAACGTGAATGAAAGAGAAATATTAGGATTGTGAAATGAGCTAAATCTACTTGGTATATGAGCAACCTGGCACTCAAGAAAGAATACTGAAAATTAACCCATAGTCTCAAACAAATTATGGCATTCATGCTGAGTTTATCAGCATACAAAAATAGTATTTCATATAGTAATGAAGAGGTAAAAATATATACATGTTTCAAATATTACTGAACTAAAAGTACTACTTAAAAAACAAAACTGATTTCAACAATCTCTGATGCAAATCATTTCTAGAAAAAGAACTGTTGATGCCTACAAGTTAATAGGTACAATGTCACAGGCATACACTAACTCCTAAGTAAGGCTCTCAGCTCAGAATAAAGTAATCTTTATTGGTTTGTATTGCTTTATTGTAGTGCTTCTAGCACTATTTTGTGTATATAATTAATTGCAATAGTAATGTTTTCTTCTATTAAATTCAATTGAATGCTTCTACGGTAAATAAAGTGTCAAAAAACATGCACTTCTAAAATCCCTGTCAATGATATTTTGTTGCAGTGGGTATAATGTCTCTTTTTGACATACATAATCTTAAGTCTCATTACAATAAAAGCTGGCTCAGCCAGAAATCTACAAAGTACAGATCTCTCTCTGAGCCAGCACTTTGATATTTCACTCAAACAATGATTACACATGGTCAAAATAATGATCTTGAGAATCTGTAAGAAAATGGTCAGGACAGAATCAAGAAATGATAAAAAAGTTTCACTAGGACTGGGGTTTTCAGGAAAGAATATGAGAAGCGATTGAATCAGAACCTGAAGAACTGGAAGATTCAAGATCAAGAAAAAGGTGCAAGGCAGGCCTGGCAGAGGGATCACATGTACGAAAACACAGAGGTATGCAGGAGCACAGTGGGTCAAGGCCTATAACATTGAGATGACCCACCTGGAATTAACAGAAGTACCCATTCCCTCTCAGACTGTGATACTACATAGCATTTCAACGTCTTCAACACTGCATACATTTTCAACAAAATGTTATGTCAGAAATGTGTTTCTCTGCATTTCTAACTGTAAATAATTGTCAGTGGAATTAATGCAGTTACTACTGCTCAAACCTTTTAAGTAAATCAATCGTAGAGTTAAGGGGTTAGTTCTAATAAAGGAGATTATCTACTATACACTCTATCAGCCTATTCACAAAGTCTACAAAAAAACAAATCACATACATGTTATTTGTAGCCTCTTAGTAACACAAGCGTTAACAATTATCCTAAGTTTGTGTACAAATTATTTGGCTATGATTTTTAATTCCTCACAAAAACCTTGGACTATAAAGGAAAACTGAGGAAATGTTAAAACATTTAAAAAATTAAATACCAGAGAATATTGCTTAGTCAGTACCACACTGAACACTACCTAGGCTAGCACTGATTTATCCAGTACATATATATAATTTAACCAATCTGAAGCTCTGCAGAAAAATATACAACAGATTACTTAATGCAAATGATTAGCATTTGAATAATACTGTGAGTATATTGTGATCTGGAGATAAAGCGTATGTGATATTGTGCACTGTTAAGATTAAAAGCAAATGCAAATAGAGTTTTTGGTTGGCTTACTTCTCGATCAAGTCCAGCTGCCACTGTGATAATGTCACCGGTCTCATTGTTGATTGTAAACATGTTGGGTGAAGGGGTGCTTGGAGCCTGAGACAGGATTCTGTACCTTAACATCCCATTGAGGGCATTGGGATCATCAGCATCGATTGCTGTTACAGTCATCACGTATGTTCCTAGAGACGGTACATGGAAAATGAAAGGTTACCCTTCATTCCAGTGTCCCCAAAAGAGAAGGTATATTTATTGTTTTGATATATATTTTCACTTTTTAAAAACAAATATTTAAAGTCGTTAGGCTTGATTAAAAATGCTACTGATAAGACCAGTACTTATTTCAAAAAAGATGAAACCTGATCTGGATCCTTGAACGAAAAATTATACAACATACATCTTTATAAAAACTCAATTTTTCCATAACTTAGAAGATAAATTCACTTTATGATTTCAAAAAGGCTCATTTTAGACCTTAATTTATATAAAATGCAAATAATGGGTAATACAGATACCATTAGAAACATAATTTATTGTCGCTGATCTTCCCTGTCATCTTTCCTTCCGTTATGCAATAAAGTCTAAAATAACATGCTGAGTATGATTCTCCTCAGTGCCTGAGTCACTTTCCGAATGCAGGCTGTGTGCAGAACGTGGCACACTCCATTTCCTCAGGTCATAAAGAACCATTTCATGCATTGCTGTTTTGGTACATTGCATAGAGATTTGGCATTGTGGTTCATTATTTCCTCAGTGATTAAAAGCACATTGTAACCAACTTAGAGGCTTCAATTTATTAGATATTTTGGGAAAGAAATCTTCAAAGCCTCTGTATCAAATTCATTCAAACTAGCTAGACAAACTAATTTAGAAGTAGAGTGAGAAGTAGTTACTGTGTAGAATGGTTTGTTCTGTGGGATCCTTTTAAGAACTGAATTATGAGATGTTTATCTCCAGTCCATCTTCCTTTTGAATATTCAAGTTCAATTCTACCTTACAGCCTGTTTACATTGGCTATAATCTCTCCATTGTATAGCTTGGGTTCTGAACTAACCATACTTTGGTAATATTCAAATCTTGTTTCAGAACTTGTCCCTTTAAACAATTTATCTGTTTTGATTGTGTGTCATTCCTATACTCTTATTTTTTCAAAACCTTCACCGTGTACTTGCTTGTGTGTTTTATATTTCTTTCCCCTACTAGTATTTAAGCTCCAACAGGGCAGGAGCTAGCTTGTCACCACTGTATCCACAGTGTCAGAACAGGGCCTATCACATAGCACATGCTTCATAAACATTTGCTGAATGAATGAATAAATCATTAGAATAAAAAGGTATGTTTCAGAAGTGTGAGCCAAAATATAGATCACAACACAGTTTAACTCAAGATTAATCACAAATCTTGCTTAGAAGGCTGTTTTCAAACTTATAGAACTACGGGAAATATACTCACAATATGTCTACTTCTAGCAATAGCTGAGTCTTTTATTTATGGGTGGCTCATATGGAAATTCATGGTAAAATGTGTAATAAATATAGCTTTAGTGGCTCATTTTAAACAATTTTTGTGAAACTATTCTTGTAACGTTTAAAATAATAGAGAAAAAAAAAGAAAATAATATTTAAAAATTTCCACATTCCCAAAAGCCCAATGTTTGTTTTCTTTGGAATATTTGTATAAGACTTGTGTTTTAGTAAGGAAATGCTGAATTTGCTTCAGTTTTACTGTATTTTAAAATACTGAAAAAAGCTACTCTGACGATATGACTTAGAAGGAGTCACAGATGGCTGAACTTCCTGCACAGCCCCTGGCCTCCCTCCAGCTGCCCCCACCCTACCCCTACATCTTTTCTGAAGAGGCACATATATGCACTTGGACCAAGAAAATGTATGCATCTGAGGCATCATTGGTTATATCTATACACTGACTTATGCATACAGGAGTTGCATAAACTGTATAGATGACAAAGGTATTATGCAGCACAATTTTAAATGCTGAGGCTTTTAAAAATACAAAACAAAAATACAATAGCTAATTAAATCTCTCTGCACACCATGTCATCTCAGGAAGCTTGGTCAAACACTTACTTTTACCATCCCTAGACCAACTGATTATCTTGTCCACTGGTTTTCTAGGCCTAAACAGGCCGTTCCGACCTGGCTATTCTACAGTGACTGAAGTGTGTCATGTTTTTAAGACAAGAATCTAAAATCTTAGCCAAATACCACTTCACAATGTTGAGTGGCTTTCCAAAAGAGCTATTTCTAGGCCAGGGCCATTTTCCATTGTGCTGGTTGAAGGGACAGGGTTGCAGGGGATGTGCTGGCCACCCTGAAAGTAACTGTCCTGTGGAGCTAGAGGGCAGCAATCACAGCTGTCACCAAGCCCCTTCCAGGCTTTAGGTCTGGCTTCGCCTCCTAGTCCCAGGAACGTCAGGTATCTTTAAGGCTTTCCCAATGTGTTTAATTGCTGCTGTGTCTCATACAGTCCCATCTGTATTTTATAAACACAAAGCTTCTCATATTCTGGGACTTGCTTTCAAGCTTCACTGTCTGGATCAACTAAAGCAGAATGAAAGGATCCTATGTATTCCACAGGACAGAATCAAATACTGTAGTGCGTATCTTTTCAAAGGTGGGAAAAATCATCATGGGCAATAAGGAGGATTTTTTTTGTTTTGTTTTTCTCTCTTCAGTTTTTCCCTAAGTTACCTTCCTTCTTTCCCAAAAGCATTATGAATAAAAAAAAGATCCAAAAAGGCTCAAATGATTTCTCCATTTCTTGTTCATATAACAGGGCTGGTTATACTATACTTTCCTCAAGTCATCTTCAAATTATCTTTACACTTACCAGGCTTTGATCCCTCAGGAACTGTCCCATTCCAAACCTGGTGTAAGAACTCAGGTCTGTTGTCATTCATGTCAATAACATTGATGACAATGTCAATGGGGTTCTCCACTTGATTTCCATTAATATCTACTGCATGTGCCCTCAACTGCAAAAGTAATTAGAAAACAAAACTATTTAACAGATTTATGTCTGTAAGAGGATATATACACAATTATAAGGCTACTAAAATAGCAAGAATAAACTCACAGCTGAAAAACAAAAGCTATTCTTCCTATCAAAATTGAATTTATGCCAAGTCCATATAATTAGGATAGATACTGTAGCAAAGAGCCATCGTTTTCTATATGCTAGGCATTGTTCTCAGAGCACAATGGATTTTTTTTTGAGACAGAGTCTTGCTCTGTCACCAAGGCTGGAGTGCAATGGCATGACCTCGGCTCACTGCAACCTCTGCCTCTTGGGTTCAAGAGATTCTCATGCCTCAGCCTCCCGAGTAGCTGGGATTACAGGCACCCAACCACCACGCCCCGCTAATTTTTTCGTATTTTTAGTAAAGGGCGTTTCTGTCTCTACTAAACAGAGTAGAGAGTTACTAATAGAGTAACGAAATTTTAGGCAATTTCACTTCTTTCTTTGTTGTGTGGGCACTATTTGTTTTTCTATCAGGGCATTTATCAATTTTATAAAAACAATAAAATTATTAAACTAAAAGACTACAGATGCAATTCTTAAAACTCAGTATCAAGGCCTTCAGACCGACATAAGACAAAATGGTAAACTCTGTAGACATTCAGAGGAAGTGTTAATACATAGATTTATCAACTGGTTGGAATCTTACATGAAACCGGGCTATCTGCTCGCGATCCAGGGGCTTTGTCACTGACAGCTGACCCGAGATGGGGTTGATAATGAAGATACCAGTTGGAGGCTGGTCAGCTCCTGGCCCAGTTACGCTGTACCGCAGTGAAAGGTTTTTATCTCTATCAGACCTGATCTGAGGATCAAGAAAACAATCACATTAAGTCACAGACTAAATGAGCTCATTACCAGAGATGGGGCACATCACACTTCATGCCCTTTTTCAGCTATAAACTTAACAACATCTCTTCCCAGAAAATCACTGAAACTCTCCTAGTGCCTGTTCTTCCTCTGCTTCTTGGTGACGGGCTTCAAAAGAGATGTCATCTAACACCAGAAAGACTGGACGCAACATTAACATCTAAAAGAAGACTCACTAGGAGCAGGGCAAAAGTTCCAAATCTGCAAGTGTCAGTTTAATTTAAACAATCAAACTCTGTCCTGGGAGTTTCTAGGTTAGATGATTTACATAGTAACAGGTGTCCAATTTCATTAAAATAAACATTGTTTACATTCTTGCATCAGTAACAGCAAGAATGAATTATCTCTCCATAGTGTGAAATATCCTCAAATGGAACTCTAATAAAGTTATGGTTGAGCCTGAATGTCAGATTTCTGTATTTGCATTGTACTAACACTGTTCACTGCAACACAAGCTTTCCACATCATTTTAAAGTGACACCTGACATTTTCATTAATAATAAAGCACAAAAGAAAGCATTTTAAAATATATTTTTATGCTTGCAAACATTATACCATTTATAGGCTCACTGCCTTCTCCAAGTACAACTACTCTCAGGAAAATTAAGTCAATGTATGTGCAGTCACCAGAGACAGAACAGGCTATGAAAGGGATGAAGGGAGGGAGGCGCAGAGAAATAATAAGAGATCCTTATGTATTAGGTACTTCCACTTAATCTATCAATAAAATCTAGTTGTTTTTCTTTTAGGTTAAAGCAAAATTCTCTTTTCTCTCAAACTTCTTTAAAGCAGAAAAAGAAAGAGTATCTTCATTTCAGTTACATTCATTGTCAAACTTAATTATAATGTACATTTGGACGGAATATACAACATAAGTAAGTGGCTTATTTTTTAAAAAAAAGTTTCAGTAAGTATGTGTTGGAATGCTAAAATAATCATAAACAGAAACATTTGTATTTTAATAAATGGCAATACAACCTTGTCTTACCATCCTTTTCTAATAAATAATGGGTTGTTAAGTTTACTAAAGTGCAAAAATATCTACATTTTTCTTTTTGTAGCTGACGGTATGTACCTAGAGTAAATAAAAAAACTTAGATTTGAAAGCCTATGATTTTACATTGCCCTGGGAATTCTGTTAATGGTATCAGAGGTCCTTCTCTTCTTTAAAAAACTCTCAAATGCATTTGCTGCTGGCATTTTTAATAATGATGGCCCTTTATTTTTTGTGTGGCCCAAAAACCATCTGCAGAGGGCAAAGATCATCACAGAGAGCCCAGCTTTCAGACAGGGAAGCTTAGGGGTGTGTGTGTTGTGAGGGCAGAAATGGTATGGAATGTGTCTTGGCTTTAGGGCTTGTGTAGTCACAAACTGAACAAGCTTTCTAATCCACAGTGTACAGGACCTACAAGAGAGCTCTGCTTATAAATAATCTGAGAGGTAGCAAAGAAAATGAGAAGAGGCTTTCTCAACATTATAGAAATTCTAACTATACAGAAAAACACTTTTAGTATATACATGTCATAAACTCTACTTCGTTAAAAACAAAATAGAAATATTTCTAATATACACTTGCCTCATGCTATGAAAACAGTTAAAATTGTGCCACCTTACCCTGACAAGCTCTTGAGGAAAAGGTCCCCTGGAGTTTTCTGGCAAGTTGATTGGAGGGATGACCCAGTCTCTTTTCTGCCTTTGTAGGTGGCCACTGTGCTTACCCAATTGTCTTGGGAATACTATTTCTTCAACTTCTGGTGACTCCTTTATATTAAAACATAACAAGAAATTCCTGAGTACTAAGAAAAACATTTTCTGAAAGTACATCAATATTACTGAATACCTGAAAGCATGGGAATCACAGTTTATTATGAACAAAAGCAAGTCTGGAGGCCCTTTTCTCTGGCCCCCTATTAAAATAACAGAAAACACTATAAAATTTTTGGGTTACACTCTATCTGAAAAATTGAATTCTAAACAATTTATTATACGGCTACAGCTGTGTAAACTATTTGCAGTTTCTATAAACCTTCTTAGATAGTAGTTAATATTGAGCAAAATTTAATAGTACCCTTTTATATATTTCTCATTAGTTTAAACCACAGTTCAGGTAATGTGCTACTGTACATTAAATTTAGATCTTGATGTGCTAAAATATAATTTGAATTCCAAGAGAAGTTTAATACATATTGCTAAGGAATGTCTCAAATATTTATGACCCTATTAAATCCCACAGAATTAATGCTGTAATTATTCTAAACCTATGTCAGCCATGATGGATGCTGTAGATGACCCACTTTGCACATTAGGTATTAATCTCTGCTGGATGTCAACATTTTCTTCTGTTTCTCCCTCTATCTGTAGACATTTTAGCCATTAGCCCTTGCTGCTTCAGTGCAAATATCCAAGCTAGTTTGCTGAAACATAGCAAATCAACAACAAAAGCATCTTTTCACTCCATTAGTTACTGGTTTTTCACTTTACATTACCCAAATGACATGACTTCCTTGAACAGTTAATAGATTAACAAATTAACTTTCACATAATAAAACCACAGCACTGAAATAAGAGAAAAATGATATATTTTCCTCTGATACATTATTCATGTTTGATTGTGAGTATATTACATTTACAATTAAATAACAGAAATGAATATGTGTGTTTCTGTCTCTCACAGTATAATAAGTATAAACAAAACTAGTAGGCATAGTTCCATAGTTCATGGACTTCGAATATATGGGTGTGTCCCATCATATTTGTTTTGAATTAACTAAAAAAACTAAAATATTCAGAAAAATAATATTATCATAACTTTACTGAAGTTACTGCATTTTATTTAAAATTCCTAACAGGGACTTATACAAATTAAGTGCTCAATAAATATTTGTTGAACTGAATGGCACTCTGTTGGAAATTTGTCTCGTTTATTTTATCTTGGCTCATAGTAGCTTCCACCAGAGGAGTGTATCATTCCTAAAAAGTCAAGGTAATATAAATAATTCAGACCCCCCCAATTTGATTATTAAGGGAAAAGACAAAAACCCAATACTCATTGCCAGAAATGTTTTTCTGTTACTACTTTAAATCTGTAGTACTCATCTAATAAATCTGACTGATGACATCTTGTAAAGAATCGTTTATTTTTTGTTTTATTTAACAGCTTGTAAAGCTTCTAAGAAATTTAAAACAAACCGCTTCTAATTTAAATTAAGTTATAAATCTTAAAGTATAAATAAAACTTTAATACACAATTTCTAGTTGCTTAATATATATTTAGTCTAAGTATCTTAAAAGATGAAAAACACAACAAAATACTATTAAAATGACAGAAGTTGATAAAAATTCAAATAGTGGCCATCCATTAATGTGATCTGAAACAAAGTATGTATTGAGTTCAAACTGTATAAATCTGATTTTTAACCCATCCTAAAGCCATATTTGGATACTATACCTTCACTGACTCCTCAGTTAAGGTTGGCTTGAGGCTCAATTTTACCGCCACTTGCCACTTTTCTTGGGTCTCTTTGTCCTGGGCATATATCAGGAACTTGGCATGCTCAGAAGAGAGTGGAAAGCTTCTCACTGCATACACAATGCCATCTTCATCCACCTTAAAATCTGCTGGCTCACTGCTCTCATATTGCACTTTTCTTTTTCCATTGCAGTTGCTAAACTTCACTGTAAAAGATAAGATGTATGTCAGTTATTATAATTATACTACAGAGGCAAAAACAACTAATACTTAAACCCATATCCTGCTTGAGTAAAAGGATAAAATACAGTAGTGAGAACCACAGAAGTTTTATTTTTATTTTAGTTTATTAAAGGCATTTTCATACTATGAAATGCCAGATGGTAGTTCTGAGCTGTGCCATAGCATTTCCTTCTTCCAAAACTTTCTCCTTCTTTCCATACTTCCTTGGACACTGGGTTCTCAGGTGCACCTGCTTTTCACCCTGACATCTTTCACTGATACTGCCTCCCACCCTATTACAAACTTCTACTCACTCTTCAGTCCCAGGTCTAAAGTCACTCAAAGTACAATGAACAAACCCCTTGTTCTCAGTCTACATGCAGCAGTCTGAGCTCTGCTACCTCAGTTTCTTAGTCATGTCTGACACTGCCTGGAAGAGGCAGTTCAGGGCAAATGTTCTTAGTTATCTTGCATACCCTGAACACTTTCTGGCACATAGTCTTAATAAATAATTTCTGAACAAATGCTTATAGAAAGAAACAATGCATTTATTAATGTTGAATGCCTACTATGCTCTAGAATTATAAGACCTTATGGTAATTAATAGGTGAATAACTTGCAAATTTCTATTCCTTCTAGTGCTTATGGTACCTATATTAAGCAATAACATATTTACAAATTTTAAAACAAAAGTGTATCCCAAAAGAAATTTTAAATTTAAAAATGATGAAACAAGTATAAGAATTCAATAAGGTTCAATGTCTTATCTCTATCATAATGCAAGTACTTCACACTTGAAAAAACAAACAAACAAAAAAAACTAGTGCTTTCTTAAATGCTATGGCAGCTTATATCTCCACAGGTAATACAACAAAAATTAAACCATGAACTTGTGTAGAACTAGACATATTCATGATATAATAAAATAATGAAAATATTCTCTAAGGAAGATTATTTCCTTTAAAGTTCTTGTTTTTTCTAGATCAAATAAAAAGTGACTTTTTTATTTCTGTAAACATCTGATGTTATGTTCTGGCTATAATTACATGGGATACTCTTTGGAATGTAATTAAAAGGGACATATTACAAAATATAATTGAATACACCTTGTGCATTTCTTGAGGATCTAAGTAACTTAAAAATCTAAGTAACTTAAAGTGTTTACGAACCCCCACTGCACATAAGAGCTGCTGACAGTTCTTTTGCTGTCATTAGTATAAATTCACTGAGATGTGTACACAGCCACAGCCAAATAACAGGCATGCTTATTTACCTTAGTAACCATAAAATTCTTGATAGAAGTCATAAAATACTTTAACTACTGAATATATTATTTTCCACATAATGCCATCTATATCATCTTTCATATTTCAATCACTTCAAAGTGAAAATAAAATTTATATCTCAAGCTAAATAATGTTAAGTCAAAATGTTTGTCTTCAGAATAGAAATATCCCAACAGATATTTAATTACTCCATCTTCCATGCCTCATGATTTAAAAGTAAAAAATGGGAATCTTTTCTACAAAATAATGCCATCTACTGCTCATCTTTCATTAAAGACAAAAAATGAAAAGTGAAATTGTTGTTTGGAACCCCGATGAGAAATCAAAAAGAGACTTTTGCCATCTTTTTGTATAAAAAGTACCTTTTAATATCACAAGAGGAATTCATGGTACTTAAAAACATAATCTGGCCAGGCACAGTGGCTCACTCCTGTAATTCCAGTACTTTGGGAGGCTGAGGTGGGTGGATCTGAGGTCAGGAGTTCGAGATCAGCTTGACCAACATGAAGAAATCCTATCTCTACTAAAAATACAAAGAAATTAGCCAGACATGGTGGCATATGCCTGTAATCCCAGCTATTTGGGGGGATGAGGCAAGAGAATCTCTTGAACCTGGGGGGCAGAGGTTGTGGTGAGCCAAGATCGCACCATTGTACTCCAGCCTAGGCAATAAGAGCAAAACTCTGTCTAAAAAAAAAAAAAAAGAAAGAAAAAAGAAAAAAGAAAAACATAATCTGGATCAGAAAAACTACATACTCTTGCACACACTTTTTTTTGTTAACTATGATTAATTGTCATCCATAAACACCTGGACTGTTACATATGCCTCCTGGATAGTCTCCCCAGTTCCTGGTCACGGCACACCTACTGCTCGACTAGACGCCTGCTATGATTTTCTCCTCCCTGCTTAAAATCTGTAACATTATATATACATTAGATCTTTAACTTAGAGTACAATGTTCTTGGTCACCTGGCCTCTTCAATTTTACTTACACCACTTTCTAAAACATATACTGCCTGGTGAGAGAGGTTCCAGTCATCCCCTACCTCGTGCTGCCCAACCCCACAGCTTTATCATCTAATCTGGGATACTCCCCTATTTTCCATATCAAAGTCCTAGAGCCAGGCCATCATTGCTGGGGAAGAGTCCACCATGAAGCTTTTCACAAGATTTCAGCCTATGCCCTCATTTGGAACTGCTCTAATTTTTTTATTTTTTGTACTTCCTGTCCACTGAAACACATTGATACTTTATTTTTATAACTGTTATAATAATGGTTATTAATAATTTCATATGAGTACATCTTCTCTCACTAAGCAGACTATAAACTCGGGCTAATGAGAGTTAAGTCTTCGTTCTTTTGTTTCTTATGACACTTGACAGCAACAGGGACAGTATAAGTGCTCATTAAGTATCCATTAGTATTTTACAACTTTTTCAAAAACTAGGAAACAGACTGAATACTTAAAAGTACACACAGCCTACTACAGTAACATCTTAGCAACAAAAATAAATAAACAAACAAAACCTAGCGACTTCAAAAATTCAACTTCTTATTAGATTGTTGGTAACAGAAGAAAATGAATTAATACTTGCGGAATGCCAGGCACTGAAAAAGACACTTATGATTATGTCACATGTTAACTTCAAAAATGACTCCTGAGGTGGGAAACACTGTTTCTGTCCTACAGATGAGGACAAAAACTTTAAGTCATCTAATGCCCATGGCTGTTTGATTCCTAGCTGTTTATTTTCATACAAAAGTGCAAAAGAATCTAAACTCATTAAGTCATTGAAATCTAAAGCTTTAATATAAAACAACAAAATTAATGAAATGAGAGAAAGATCTGAAAACGCATCTGAATATAATAATGCCAAATTTAGATGTGAGAGTTCCATAGTAAATAGAATGTTAAAAAGAAATTCTTTTTCTGTGTCTATTGAGATGATCATGTGATTTTTTTTAATTCTGTTTATATAGTGTATCACACTTATTGACTTGCAGGTATTTAATTACTCCATCTTCCATGCCTCATGATTTAAAAGTAAAAATGGGAATCTTTTCTACAAAACAATGCCATCTACTACTCATTTTTCATTAAAGACAAAAAATGAAAAGTGAAATTGTTGTTAAACAATTCCTGCATCTCTCTGGTATGAAACACACTTCATGATGGTGGATTATCTTTCTGATATGCTGTTGTATTCTGTTAGCTAGTACTCTATCAAGGATTTTTAGATCTATGTTCATCAGTAATATGCTGGTTGTTTTCTTTTTTCTTTTGTTTTTGTTATATCCCTTCCTGATTAGGGTGATACTGGCTTCACAGAATGATTTAGTGAGAATCCCCTCTTTCCCTATCTTGTGGAATAGTATCAATAGAATTGGTACCAATTATTTGAATGTCTCATAAAATTCAACTGTGAATCCATCTGGTCCTTGATTGGTAATTTTAAAATTGCAACTTCAATCTAGCTTTTTGTTACTGATCTGTTCAGAGTTTCTACTTCTTCTTGGTTTAATCTAGGAGGGTTGTACATTTCCAGAAATTTATCCATCTCCTGTATATTTTCTAGTTTATGCGTGTAAAAGTGTTCCCAGTAGCCCTGAACGATCTTTTGTGCTTCTGTGGCATTGGGTATAATATCTCCTGTTTTGTTTCTATTCGAGCTTATTTGGATATTCTCCTTTTCTTGGTTAATCTCAATAATGGTCTATCAATTTTATTTACCTTTCAAAGAACTAGCTTTTTGTTTCATTTATCTTTTGTATGTTTTCTTTTGTTTCAATTTCATGTAGAGTTGTACTCTGATCTTGGTTATTTCTTTTCTTCTGCTGGGTTTGTGTTGGTTTGTCCTTGTTTCTCTAGTTCCTTAATGTGTGACTTTAAAAATCCAGCATCCCTTTATAACTAAAACCCTCAGCAAAACTGGCATAGAAGGGACATACCTTGAGGTAATTAAAGCCATCTATGACAAACCTACAGCTAACATTATACTGAATGAAGAAAAGCTGAAAGCATTTCTGCTGAGAGCTGGAACAAGACAAGGATGTTCACTTTTACCACTTCTATTCGACACAGTACTGGAAGTCCTAGCCAGAACAATAAGACAAGAGAAAGAAATAGACCATCCAAATTGGTAAAGAGAAAGTCAAACTATCTCTGTTTGCTGATGACATGATTGTATACCTAGAAAACCCTAAAGATTCATCCCAAAAGCTCCTAGAACTGGTAAATTCAGCAACGTTTCAGGATACAAAATTAATGTACAGAAAAAGAGTGAGTGTGTGAGAGAGAGAGAGAGAGAGACAGAGAGAGAGAGAGAGATTCTTAAACCAGAGTATTCCCTAAATGTCCTACAGAGAGCACTAGCCAGAGATCCCTCAGGTGGGATAAGGGTGTGATAGACAGAAGAAAGGATTTTTAGTTACTGGTGCTTGTTCTATTAATGTTGTACTGCTACCTATTTGGATTCAGGTGTCATAGTGTTTCAGGGAGGGAAAGAAAGAGGCCTTTGCAAAAAATGCATTTGCAAAAAGTGACTTACTTCACATCGTGTGAATGAGAAGAGGTTGATCTAAGAGAGTCTGACACTAGAGAAATCGCTTTGGAGGAAATTGTATAAAGTCATTTAAAGTCAATTAGTTTTTCTATCACCTCTCCCCCTAACCTAGGACCAATATTAATTTGTTTAA